TTTGGGACAGGGCAGTTATTCATTGTGGGGGCCTGTCCTGCACATCCCTAATCCTGGTTGCTACATGTCAGCAGCCCCTGCCAGGGGCTTAATCTAACATGTCTCTACATGTTTCTAGCCCCTGGGATAGGAGTGGCTATTGCCCTGGACACAAATGCAGCAATACAACCTTTTTAAAATAGAGAGTGCAGTGTGTGTGTGTGTGTGTGTGTGTGTGTGTGTGTGTGTGTGTGTGTATGTGTGCACAGTCAGATTCACCTTGGAAGGTGATCTGTCACAGGTTTTCTTGATGTTCTTGTTCGTATACTCTCAAAATGTATTACCTTTAGACCCATGCACTTTGTAATGTACTGTCTTGTAGAAGGAAAAGAATTTTGTTTGGTAGAAACCATATTGAATGAATTCATCTTGTAGTATTATCATTAGCATTATTCATCGCATTGTTATTAAAACACACATTGATTTTTATTTGCGGGGTATCGATTGAGGTTAGTGGGCAGGAACGTGGCATGAATCATAGATTCCTTGTCCGACACAATATGGCGCACTTCTATAAAACAAAGTATTGAACCTGTCTAGCTTTATAATGAGTGTTTCATTTTTAATCAAATACCTATAACTAGTTATATTTTCCCTATAAGGTATATTTTACAACCTTTTTTTTTTTGTATTTTAAACTTTTTTTCCTATATAATATATTATTCAAACTTATTTTAGAATCAGGTTTTTGGCTTATAAGTATTATAATAAGTATTTGATAATTATGTTAGAAATAACCAAAATTAAAGAGAGTATTGAAAATTTGTGTAAATTCATGGAAAAGGACAAGTTGCTGGGCTGTGATGCCCGCCCCCGCCCTTCGTCCCTCACCCTGAACAGCAGGACCTCCCCTTGGGTCACCGGTTCATTTATTCAGTCAGCAGGTATTTCTGCGTGCCTGCTAGGTGCCAGGCACTCTTGGGGCTGGGAGGTAGAGCAGAGCCGTGTCCCAGGTGGCATAGAGCGGACATTTGCATGGCAAAGCAGGTCATAAATCATGCTTGCCAAATGCGTGGATCCAACGTCCCCCAAAAGCCATCCTGAGGGTCGCCCCTGAGCATTTCTCTGTAAACGCTGTTTTGGGGTAAAATGCAGTTTTCGTGGCTCTGGCGTTATGCCCTCTGCTTTTCGGGTCTTGCTCTTTTTCTGAAAGGCTGAAGCTGGTCGCTGGCCCTGTGGGGCGCTCCAATATCTTGCAGAAGACACGGTAGGGGTGTTAGTACCCGTAGAAAATAGTAACAGAAAACATCTATCGGGTGTTGCATTAAACAGGGAGCAGGGACCCTGGCAAGCAGGCTACACGCAGGGTGTTGTTGAATTCTTTGATTCTTAAGTTTCTCATCCTTGCAGACTCCCACAAAGGAAGGTTTCTACACTACCCTTGCAATTGTGATTTAGTTGCTTTTCTTTCCTTTTTATCCTCATTTCTCAGAATAGAGGTGATTCCGTCAGAATACAGATTATTTGTATTTCTTGTCAATGTCCAGGGAGCATGGAGAGCGTGTCATGAGTGATGCCAGTGCCAGCTAACCGGTCCCTGTTGGCTGAGCCTGATGGCGCCACCTGTGTGGGGCCACGGTGGTGCAGGTGGGCTCGGAGGCACGGTCTGATGTGACCCGCTCACCCTCACCCAGCCTCATGATACCCAGGGGACGGTTTCCTTAGTCCTCCCTGCAATAGGGGACATGCGATGGACTGTGTCTGGAACTGGTGACAGCTTTGTAGGAGGGAGCGGAGGATGAGGATGAGGAAAGGAAGGCGTGGACAAGACAGGCGAGGTGGGGGAGCCCTGGAAAAGGGAACCCCGCCCCTCCCGGTCACACTATTGGGCAGGAATCGTCCAGTAAGCCTCAACAATGATTCCTGCAGTGTTTGCCTCATAGTGATTTTCTGTTTCCCTGTTCCTTCTACATTTATTAATTGGAATTCTACTATAAGGAGGAGCTGTCTGTTTGACCCCACTGACGTATTCAGTTATTTATTTATACCAAGAGGGACTCATGGACATTAATGTTGCTTTACTCTGTGGGTTACTCATGACTTTCATTGTTAATTTGGGGGCTCCAATGGTCCCAGCCATGGCCGTTGGAGACACGTTGAGTTGACTTCTGTACCCTTTTGCCATGCCGTCACCATTTTGTTTTAGCACATTCTTACTTTCTGGCTCCATAAGGTGTTCCTGGTTCGTCCCGTGTGAATTTGGCCCTCCGTCTGGAAACAGCCATTTCAGTACATGCAGACGTCAGCATGCGTTATCCACGCTCTCCTTGAATGTGTCAGCAGTCTTCCTTGGCGAAGCTAATGGACGGGGTAGCCGGCCCTGGGACAGGGGGAGGACTCACCGAGGTCCTTGTTTCCCTGTTGCATCTGACTTTTGGCTTTAACCTTGGTTCTCTGACCTTGTGTGGAAGGAACACACAAGAAAAATAGGAAGTTCGAGCTCCTGCTTATTTCTTGCATACACAACTTTTTTGTTTGGTTTTTTTTTGATGCGAGCAGAGATGAAAGCTAATGGCCGATGACCGCGAGTGACAAAGAGTGATTGCACTTTAAATTGGTCTCCCTTACCTTGTCTCACAGGTTGTTCGAAAGAGCTGCTTTGCAGCTCTGTTAATTGAATTTTGCCCTAACTGTTTCCAATGTGCTTTTTGTTGTTCGTTTTACCAGATTTGCTGTCGCTTTCACAGAGTCAATGAAGGAAATGGCACTCCGGCAGTGGGTACGTGTTTATTTCGTGTTGTTATTTTGGTTGTGCTGGCGAACTTGCACAGTTGGAGAACGGAAAGGCAGTTTTACGGGAACTGACAATTTCCCATCGACACTGCCTGCTGTAGCCACAGCAGCGTATTATGTTTCCCATGTAGTGACATTTTTTATTTGTATAGCTGCTCTTAAAACTTCACTGATTTTTTTTATGTGGTTATTGAATAGTGAAAATAGCCCGATAGCCAAATCTTTATGTTTTGTCTGTTTTTATGTTGCTCCGGTTGGGTGAATTACGGGCTATCTTATAAATGTTGCAGCAACCTCGAACACACACAGAACAATTTCTCAGGTGGCATACTGTTTATTTGAAGAGCTTTACAGAGCTCGGGACTTTGTAGCTGTACAAGGTACCCCCCCTTATGACTCGGGGGACAGGTGAAATAGATGCTAGGAGCCCGAGTTCTCAGTGGGCAGCTCTGTGAAGGCAAAACAGAGCTGGTGCCTGCAAAACTCAAGAAAAGGCCGCCCCAGAGGTCGCTTCCTCTGGGGCACCACAGGCACGAGCCTTTCCTCTGGTGGGGTGACCCGCGGTGGGCGTGTGTGGCCACCATGCTGGTCCCTGTGTTCTGCCAGCTCACCGTCTGTGGGCTGCACTCCTGTGTGTGATGTCCCAGGCTCTGCACATTCTTCGTAGAGTTTCAGTCTGTGAAACATGGTGCTTGGTGACCGCTGTAGTGGGTCAGGGACCGACGCCATCCTTTGTGGAACTGGCGGTCCCTTCCCGAAAGCCCAGGATCCCCTGCACATGGGACGGTGAGGTCTGCCTGGACCAGTGTGCTCTTCCTGTCACACCAACGCTTCCCAGGCAGAGCAGGGAGGCTTCATCTCTTAGTGCAATTTAATGAGCGGTCAGTCTCAGAATCTAAACCAGTGACTCTCATTGTGGGGTGCCGGGGCCTTTCAGGCCTTCACACATCGAGCCTGTTTTCATACTAATGCTCAGACATTTTTTGCCCGTTTCACCATTTGAAAGGCGATGATGGAATAGCCTGCTGACACCCTGATACTCATTGGAGGGCACCCACGGCACTCAGAGTCATTGACCATTTCTTGCCATCCACTTGTAGTTTCAAAAAAAGTCACTTAAGAATCTCCATGATAAGGCAACAGAATTATTAATTTTGTAAATATTAGCCTTAGAATACATTTTAAAAAACATTCTGTGTGACAAAACAGGAGAAGCATGAAGATCTTTTGCTGCGTGATGGTCATCTTGAGAAGAGGCCCTTAGCTGGCAGTTTGAGTTGCAAACTGAACTAGCCACGTTTGGACACGATTTTTCTTATCTGAAGGGTGACTGGCAGACAAGCCGTGGTTATTCAGACATGGGCGTTTGGTAGACAGTTTCTTAAAAACGAATGCATGGAGCCGGTGACGTCCAGAAAAACAGCTGGCAGTATTTGTTGCTGATGGTAATCTGAAGTGCTGAGCCAAAATTAGAGTTTTGGAAAAGGCTGACAGCTTTCCCAGAGAGACTTTCCTGCCGAGATTGGTGGTCATATTAACAAACGCGATTTTTTTTTGGATGTTGTATATTGAAATGTTTCAACATTTGGGAGATCCAGATCACTCAGGGAAACACTATTTTCCAAATGGCATGGCATTAATATAATACCTGGCATTACAGAGCCACGCATAGGTGAAGGGTTCATTGAAGGTGTAAGAGACCAGTGCACGGTGACGTGCTAACAGCGTGTGAGTTGACCCCAGGTCCCATCTTGCAACTCACCTTTAAGGAATTACCGTTTGTTGAGTTTGGGGATAGTACCCAAGAATAGTACCTGTGATGGCTATTAAAATGCTCCTCCCCTTCCCAACTCCCCATCAACGAGACACAGGCTTTTCTTCATATACCGCGGCCAGAACAACACACGGAAGATGGATGGGATGGAAGAGCAAACAGGAGAATGCAGAGGTCCTCTGTTAGGCCAGACGGGAAAGAAAGCTTTTACCAGTCCAAGCACGTTCCTTCTCCATGAATTGATTGCCCCTTTCCCTAACTTCTGTCTTAAATGTCACCTCTGTCCATGAATCCTGTGGCTTTCCCAAGTCAGTATAGATGTGTTCACTTACTGTATCATTTACTTTCTGCTGCGTAACAAATCACACCAGACGTAGTGCCTTAAACACTTATTCTTTGTGGGCATTTCTGGCACGGGAGCGCTCAGCCGGGCTGGGTGGTCCCGGCAACCTGGTTGACATGGCTGGGACCTCAGCAGGTGTGGCTGGGACAGCCGAGGCCTTTCTCCACGCAGACTGTCATCTTTTATTAGACTCAGGGCAGGTGACATCAGGCTCCAGGTCACGGTGCTCGTCACGTCTCCTGCTGCCTGACGTTTGCCACCGTCCTGTTGGCCAAAGCAGCTCATGGGATGGTGATCTCTCTCTCATTATAGAAGGCTCCTCAGGGTGGCCTTCCCAGGACACAGGTGCAGGGAGGGGGGGTTCATGCCCATCATAATCACCTGCCTCCCTTTGTGCTGATCCCTCGTGATAAAAACACTTCTGGCCATAACCTTCCTCCCCATGTGGTCCGGAGCTCCTTGAAGACCAGGACAAGGTCTGGTTCCCTAGAGAGCAGCATTGCTACCTCGTGGTCAGTGACTAGTTATTGAATTTACTTTACCAGGGATGGGTCCTGGTTTAGAAACTTTTATGAGAGAAATTTCCAAGCATCTACAAAAGCAGCAAGGAGAGTAGAGTGAATGGCTGGCTTACAATTCTTCAATTCTTATTTAATCGACTCTCATTACACACACACACACACACACACACACACACACACACAATTTATTTTTCTGGAATATTTTAAAACATCACAGCCATCATGGCATTTCACCTGTAAACAGTATACCATTTTACCTGCGAATGCACCATGATAAAGATTTTTTTTTAACATAAGCGCCATGTCGTGGATAGTTTTCAGTGGGAAGACGACAGACAGCGTGTGAGGAAGAAATGAAGAGGGCCTCAGGAATGGTAACACAGTTTATGATTTTTGGTCAGTCAGTTTTGGAGGAACTTGAGTGAAGGCATTTGGATGGGGGCGGGCAGGGGAGCGGGGTCTCTGAGCTCCAGACACACGTTATGAGAGACCAGCCTGGGGGTGAGGATCCGGAACACAGCTCACAGGGGAGGGCGCCGGGGGTGTCACCCGTGTCAAGGTGATAACTGAAACATGGAAACGATTATTCTTAGATGAGTTTAACTTTCCAATATAATAAGACATGTCTATTCAATGCAGGTGGATTACATTTGGGGCGGGCTGGGCGGCCACGCTGATGTTTTGTGCTGTCAGCAGGATTATCTTCCATCTCAGAATGAAGCTGACCATTCATGTGGCCGTCACGCGAGCGGTCAGCCACTCCATGTCTACTCCAATCCTCGGGTTAGCCGTCTTTGTTTTCAGAAAGATGCTCTTCCAAGTACAATAACCAGGCATCTGAAAAAGTGTCGAGAAGGCAGCAAAAATTGTTTGACCTTGGATGATGATTTATTTTTTTTGGTGGATGATTTTTCAATGAAGTTCCGTTCAATACCTTTATTTGATTAGTTTTGCAAATAAAAACTGTGTATAAATAACATAAAGGTTCGTTGTTCAGCCATATTTATATAATTATTTTAGATGGATTTTTGTAGAGGGACTGGTTTTGTTTGTGTATCCTGAACAGCGACACGGTGTTTGGGTAATTAGGTTTTACTCTTCATTATTAAACCACCAGCTTTTGTTTCCTGTTTTGGATGCTTTATTTTAGTGAGCGGGATGGTTCAGATGGTACATTAGTTGATCCCACCTAATTATCATCAAACCAAAATCAAGTTCCAGTCACCTCAGATGAGAAAGAATTATGGCATTTGCTTCTTATTGCTTTTGAGATTTTAAAAGAGGGAATATAGATTATATAGTTTATGTGGGGATATATGTAGCGTTGAGCATACACTCTGGTCTAAAACTTGTGTTTTCTCAAACTTAATTTAAATGAGAACACACGTATACACGGACACACCCTCGGTACCAGTGCTGTTAACAGCCATATAGTGCAACCCACAAAGGTGAGCGATGAATGTAATTTTAAATTTTCCGGTAGTCACATTTAAAAAAAGCAAGTGGAAAGAAGTAAAATTAGTTTTAATGGTATATTTTATTTATCCCACTGCCTGGAGTTAGCCAATCTGCAAAGTTTGTGCCTCCAGGAGCCCTCACTTCTGACACCAACTGTGAGTTCAGGGGGTTCTGGGAACCCCCGGAAGTTTGATAGTTTGCTTGAAGGACTCACGGAACTGAGTGTTCCTACGCTCACGGTTACGGTTTATTACTGGGAAAGGACGCAGATTAAAACCGGCCAGATGAGGAGACGCATAGGGCTGAGCTCTTCGTGTACTCCCCCCACACTCCCTCCCTAGAGAGTCACGGCATCTTACACTCAGGTGTTGACCTGAGACCATATACACAAAGCACTGCCTCCCAGGTAAGCTCGCCCACGTTGGTTGCCCAGAGTTTTTATCGGAGTTTCATTACGTAGGCCTGATTGATTGGTTAATTCGTTGCCCACATACATGGCTGCACTCAGTCTCCGTCAACTGATACTGCTGGACAGGAAGTTCACACCCTAAATCACACGGCTGGTCTTTCTGGCGTGGCCAGCCCCCACTTAACACTATTGGTTGTGGCTGGCCCCGCCCTACCCAAAGACATGCCTCTCAGGTATCACATAGATTATTTCCTGGAATCCACAGGCAAAGGCCAGACCCCTCCTGGGCCAAGGCCACCTTCTTTACTGCACACCCACTATATCCACAATCTTATTATTTCAACATGTAAGCAGTATACAAAGGACTAACGAGGCATTTTGCATTTTTTTTTTTGCACTCAGTCTTCGAAATCCAGTCTCTGTTCAGGCCAGGCCCCTTTTGATGTCTCAGTAGCCTATGCATGAGGCTGGTGGCTGCCGC